GGGGAAAACCGGGGTAGCCACCCAAAAGGGGGGAGGGTTTTTTTAGTGAGGAAGGAAAAAAAAAGGCAGGAAATTTTGGAGAAAGTAACCCCAAAATCCAGTCATTCCGGGAGGGAAACCCACAGCGATGGCCCCCACCCCAAAACCAACAGATCAGATACTAATCCCGGGAAAAAAAAATCCCCCCCCCAGTACCAACAATACCCCAGTCCGATAACATTCTTTTGAAAATAACGGGGTCTAAACCCAGCAACAAACAACAAAAACCTTTCACCCCGTGGATGTTTGCAGAAAAAAAACCCAAATGTTCGCGGTTTCACGGACCCACATAAAGGTCCTTGGAAAAACGAAATATGGACCCAGGTTAAACCTTTACGATGTGACAGAGTGAACAGGCAAAAGGGGGGGGGGGGCGTTGGCCCTGTACATTCAGAGTACTTGTTTGCACGAAGCTAAATCCCTCAAATGATGTATGGAATTTTTAGCAAAAAAGGTCGAGAACCAAAACTAGTCATTGTGGTAGTCTACAAGCCCCCCGGGATGCAACTCACAGAATTCCAGGAAACAGCTTTAAAAAATTGACCACTTTTGGGAAAAAATCTTTCCAGTCCTGCCCCCAACATCTTGCCCCTGGGGGTTTTCACTTAAGGCATTAAAAGGAGGAAATTAGCAAAAAATATTGTTGCAGTAATAACCCCAGGGGGCAGCTCTGGTGAAAATCACACTCACGCGAGTTTTTAAATCTTGCACAAAATTAAATTTAAAACCCAGCAAATAATAAGCCACTAGCGGGAAAATACACAACCCTCATTTCACTACAATGATGATTGATAAGAAATGTCACCATATCAAAAAAAATATATCAGTCACAAAAAAATTGGGGTTTCGTATGTTGCGCGGACCCCCAGACCGACAAATGAGTTGTCACGAGGGACATTTACCCAAATTCAAATTTAATAAAAAAACATAAAAATGGGACCAAGTAAACCAAGTCCCAACCAATATAAGTGGGAAGATATATAAGCAAAACAGACCCCCAAATTATGTAGAACAGATAACTCGGTGGCACTCGATGTATGGGACAAGGCTTATTCCCCTAAGAAAAAGGAGGAGTAATGTAAAATAAAAGAGACAGGCGCTCCCTTTACAGGCGGGAAAAGAATAAAAGAGCGGCTAAAAGAGGTCAATATATCTGAAATGCGTAGGGGACACTGGTCAGAGAAATAGCAAGCATCGAACTTAAGCTAAAAGAATCCTTTAGGAGTCAGGAATCGGGAAGAACTAAAAGTCATAAATGAATCAAAAGAAACCCAAAGTATTTCTTCTCCTATGCCAAATCAAAATCGAGAACACGTCCTTTTATTTGGGCCCCTACTTAAACAAGATGGGTCCACACAGATGACAGCAAGGAAATGAGTGAGCTACTCAAGTCCAATATGACTCAGTTTTTAGCAAGCCGCTAACCAGACTAAAGGTCGAAGATCAAAATGAATTTTTTTATGAGAGACCCACAAAATTTGATTAACACAAGCCTATCCGATGTTATCCTGACGCCAAATGACTTCGAACAGACGAAAAATTGACATGCCCATGCACTCTGCCCCAGGGCCAGACTCATGGAACTCTGTGTTCATCAAAATTTGCAAGAACCCCCTATCACGAGCCTTTTCCATCCTATGGAGAGGGAGCATGGACACGGGGTCGTCCCACAGTTACTAAAAAACAACAGACATAGCCCCACTCCACAAAGGGGGCAGTTAAAAGAAACAGCAAAGAACTACAGACCAATAGCAGTAACACCCCATATCATAAAAATCTTTGAAAGGGTCCTAAGAAGCAAGATCACCACCCATCTAGAAACCCATCATTACACAACCCAGGGCAACAGGGGTTTTTAGAAACAGGTCGCCCCTTTGTCTGTCTCAACTATTGGATCACTACGACAAGGTCCTAAATGCACTAGAAGACAAAAAGAATGCAGATGTAATTATATACAGACTTTGCAAAAGCCTTCGAAAGTGTGACCATGGCGTAATAGCGCCCCAAAATGCGTGCTAAAGGAATAACAGGAAAAGTCGGTCGATGGATCTATAATTTCCTCATTAACAGAACACAGAGAGTAGTTGTCAACAGAGTAAAGTCCGAGGCAGCTACGGGAAAAGCTCTGTTCCACAAGGCACAGTACTCGCTCCCATCTTGTTCCCATCCTCATATCCGACATAGACAAAGGGTGTCAGCCACAGCACCGTGTCTTCCTTTGCAGATGACACCGAATCTGCATGACAGTGTCTTCCATTGCAGACACTGCAAAACTCCAGTCGGACATCAACCAAATTCTTTCAGTGGGCTGCAGAAAACAATATGAAGTTCAACGATGAGAAATTTCAATTACTCAGATATGGTAAACATGGGGAAATTAAATCTTCATCAGAGTACAAACAAATTCTGGCCACAAAATAAAGCGAAACCAACGTCAAAGACCAGGGAGTGATCATGTCGGAGGATATCACCCTTCAAGGACCATAACATTGTATCAATCGCATCTGCTAGAAAAATGACAGGATGGATAATGAGAACCTTCAAAACTAGGGAGGCCAAGCCCATGATGACACTCTTCAGGTCACTTGTTCTATCTAGGCTGGAATATTGCTGCACACAAAACAGCACCTTTCAAGGCGGGTGAAATGCCGACCTAGAAAATTTTACAGAGAACTTAAAACGGCGCGCATAACGGAGATAAAACACCTCAATTAAATGGGAGCGCGAGGTCCTAAACCTGTATTCCCTGAAAACCAGGAGTGAGAGATACATGATTATAATAACACCGGAAAAATCCTAGAGGATAGAAACCGAACTTGCACACGAAAATCACTCACTACGAAAGCAAAAGACTTGGCAAAACGATGCACCATCCCCCCCAATGAAAACAGGGGTGTCACTAGCCGTTAAGAGACCATACAATAAGTGTCGGGGCCCAGACTGTTCAACTGCCTCCCAGCACACATAAGGGGGATTACCAACAGACCCCTGGCAGTCTTCAAGCTGGCACTGGACAAGCACCTAAAGTCATTTCCTGATCCCCGGGGCTGTGGCTCGTACGTTGGTTTGCGTGCAGCCAGCAGCAACAGCCTGGTTTCAGGCTCTGATCCCCCAGGAGGCCTGGTCACAGACCGGCCGCGGGGGCGTTGACCCCCGGAACTCTCTCCAGGTAAACTACACAATGATAACCACTACTCAATGATAACCACTACACAATGATAACCACTACACAATGATAACCACTACACAATGAAACCACTAACACAATGATAACCACTCCCACAATGATAACCACTACACAATGAAAACCCAAACTACACAATGATAACCACTACACAATGATAACCACTACACAATGATAACCACTACACAATGATAACCACTACACAATGAAAAACCTCAAACACAATGATAACCACTACACAATGATAACCTCTACACAATGATAACCACTACACAATGATAACCACTACAAAATTGATAACCTCTACACAATGAATAACCAAACTACACAATGATAACCACTACACAGTGATAACCACTACACAATGATAACCACTACACAATGAAAAACCTCTACACAATGATAACCACTACACCAATGATAACCTCTACACAATGATAACCTCAAACACAATGATAACCCTACACAATGATAACCTCTACACAATGTAACCTCTACACAATGATAACCACTACACAATGATAACCTCTACCCAATGAAAACCCTCTACACAATGATAACCTCTACACAGTAAATAACCACTACACAATGATAACCACTACACAATGATAACCACTACACAATGATAACTCTAACAATGATAACCTCTACACAATGATAACCTCTACACAGTGATAACCACTACACAATGATAACCACTACACAATGATAAACCACTACACAATGATAACCACTACACAATGATAACCACTACACAGTGATAACCACTACACAATGAAAAACCAACTACACAATGATAACCACTACACAATGATAACCTCTACACAATGATAACCTCTCACAGTGATAACCCTACACAATGATAACCACACACAATGATAACCCCCTACACAATGAAAAACCCCTACACATTGATAACCTCTACACAATGATAACCACTACACAATGATAAACCTACACAATGTAACCTCTACCAATGATAACCTCTACACAATAAAAACCTCTACACAATGATAACCACTACACAATATAACCTCTACACAATGATAACCTCTACACAATGATAACTCTACACAATGATAACCACTACACAATGATAACCTCTACACAGTGAAAAACCACTACACAATGATAACCTCTACACAATGATAACCTCTACACAATGATAACCTCTACACAATGATAACCACTACACAATGATAACCTCTACACAATGAAAACCTCTACACAATGCTAACTCCCTCCCACAATGATAACCACTACACAATGATAAACACTACACAATGATAACCTCTACACAATGAAAACCCTCACACAATATAACCTCTACACAATGATAACCACAACCAATGATAACCTCTACACAATGATAACCTCTACACAATGATAACCTCTACACAATGATAACCACTACACAATGATAACCTCTACACAGTAGAAACCACTACACAATGATAACCTCTACACAATGATAACCTCTACACAATGATAACCCCCTACACAATGATAACCACTACACAATGAAAACCCTTTCTACACAAGATAACCTCTACACATGATATGTTTATAGGAATGATTTTTCTTTTAACCTTAAACCAGAAATTTATGTTAATATAAGGTATGGCTTGGTCTCCTTTTTTGTTTATGAAATATGTTTGCAGTAACTGGAACAAACATAGAGGAGCGATGCAACATTACACGAAAAACCGTTTTGCAGTTTATCTAAACACAAACATTGGAAGAACTGACATTCACAACTGATGCTCCGATTGGAAATTATGGGGGAGAAGACAATATAGAAACCTTAACCTGGTTACCAGATAATTCAACAATAATGAAGCTAATGAAATGTAATAAAACGCTGCCAGAAAATGGCAGTTCACTAGTTCTACTTATAATAACTTTCATCATTCTTCTGTTATGGGAATGCAACTGTATATACAGAGTAAGTTTCTCTAACACCATAGTATTATCATAGATTAATAAATAATCTTTTTTTTTAAAAGTGTTTTTGGACAGTAAACCAGCGGGAATGGCCTCGGTCAATGTCCTAAAGCTCTAGTGACGGGTCAACACATGGCTAAGACTCGCGTCAGGAAACACTTGTCCTGTTTCCTGACGAATTTGACCTAACCTAACCATAGCATTACTGGGCTTTATTATTTGATTAGTAACTAAGCTGTTTTATTGCCAGATTACGAAATGGCGTATAAGGAGATCATTTAAAAATGGGGAAAAAAAACTGAAAGGATATTGATAAAATAAAAGGTGGGGAAACTAGAAACCATTTTTTTTTTTTCTTTTAAAAATTGAACGTTAAGATTTCATATAAGAATACAAGAAGCAGTGTTTGAGAAATTCTATAGTTGATATTGTTGAATAAATGTTTTATTTAAATTAAACCAAAATACTGCAAAAAAATATAAAAGGATATATATTTTGATATTTTGGATCGACACCATGCCCAGCCCTTCTACGGCAGGGGAGGGTGGCCTGAGCCCGAGCTTGTAGCTCACAAGACTGCATTCCCCTTACCCCCTTTGGGGGGGAGCAGACCAGAGAGGCCTAGCCTCCCTACGAGCCCCGTGAGGGCACGAAATGTGGCTAGGCCGGGACCCGTTGGTCCCCAAGATGAAGGGACTTGTGCCTCCCCAGGGAGACTTTGGTCTCAGACACTCCTTAAAAGAGGGAGCCAAGGCCGGGCCACCACTTGAAAAAGGCCCGGCCGGGAGAATACCGGCGAATCTTTAAATAATAATAATAAAAAATAATAATAATAATAATAATAATATATTTAGTGATAAAATTTTATTGGAAGATATCCTCAAAATTTTAAATTTGCAAAAAAAGGGGAATAACTTATTTGTTTGATCAAGAGTAATGACACTGGAGCGAGGGATTATTGCTATATTATCAGCAAAATTTTAAAAAAAACGGTTATCCGTCTTGGGAATCTTTCTATAAGCGATTATTTCAATTTCACTAATCATTTTTTTCTGGGTAATATATTACCGTAACAATCTTCTCGTAGTATATTCCTATTCAGTAACCCCCTTTCTCTAGGCAGTGTATTACCACCCTAGAAACCCCTAACCCCTTTTATTGGTGAAATTTTCTTTGTACTTGCAGCTGAGGAAGGAATACTTGAACGTCGACAATATGATGCGCCTCAGCAGTCTGTTACTCACTGCTGTTGTCATAGTGCCGGGAGGGACCTGTGAGCTTCACTATCACATACGCAATGTAAGCCAAGATTTTGGCATTACTGAAACAGTGTTAATCGATATAATGATCACGAATAATATTAATAACAATGGATTGTATATACAGCTTCACTTATCAGTTTATTAGTGTTGATGGAAAAATGATCTTGACAGACTTGTTTTACTAAACATGTAAAATCTTCTTTTACAGACTGAACAATGGGAATGTGGGATCATCGCCTTGCTAGTGGGATGGATACACTTCATCAGCAATCTCAATCAGTTACCTGTACTCTCTATTTCAATGCCTATTACTGAAACCTTCCTCAAGCGTTTTTTGCTAGTGGCATCTTATATTACCTTACTTATATTTGTCTTTGCCTTTACTTTCCATATCCAACTAAGAGATCAAGACGCATTCGGTACTGTGTCACAAGCCATGGTGAAGGCTACGGTTTGGATGTTTAGTGATCTAGCTTATGATGACACTTTTCTTAATGAAAAAGACCCTCTTGTCTACCCAGTTTTCACGAACCTTCTCTTTTTGTTGTTTGTTACTACTATCAGTGTTTTTATTGCTAATTTGTTCATCACTCGGTCCACTGAGAAACTTGAGAGTTTCAGAGACAAAGCTATCCTTCACCAAGCAGCATCCCGGTGTGAACTGTTTCTGAAACTTGACGTTTGCTTTCCTTTCTTTATTGAATATAGAACAAGAGGACAATATAAAGAAAATCCAATTGAAAAAGGTATACACAGTATTATTACAAAGAAACTTTTGATGCTAGATACTGAACAGGGGACAAAACCCGTCAACTCCTTGGAATTACAGCTGCAAGAGCAAAATAAGCAAATCACTACACTCTTAACTCATCATCAGGAAGAAATAAAGGAGCTTAGACAACAAATAGTGGATCTCAAACACCAAACTACAGACCTTGTAAATTTACTGTCAAGATTAAATCAATCATAATTCAGTTATACTTGGGAGTAAGCGCAAAATACACTTCATAAGCCTCAGTCACTTACTGCTTCAAGAAAAATACTTAGTAACAAAAAAAAGTGTGAACATTAATGTGGAAAATATTTCCAGGCTGAAATGTATATAGTGAATATAAATGCCTTTTTAACTTTAGCATACATAATAAAATGTAAACTAATTTTCTGTATGTTAGCTAAGTTGTATACACCACTATAGTGTAGTTACATTAGATACTATTTGCAACAGAGTGACACTGAACTACAGTGAGCAAGACAATGTTTAGACATTCACGGGACAAACAGCTACCAACAATATATTGAATGTGTTAATTTAGTAACGAAAATGGAACTGCGATAGATAAAGGAGATCCTCTCACATGTGACTCACTGTTATTGACTTACAAGCCTATTTATTTCATTATTTTTCTTAACTAGAAACCATACAAATTTGCACTCTATTTCTAAAAAAGGAATGTATTTATACTCTTAGAAACTTTAAACGGCTTTGAAGTCCAAAGCGTTTTTGAACCAAAGATCAAATGGGACTTTCCAAGAAAAATGAGAGCTGAGAAGAATCGGTTGAGTCCAGTTTCACAAACTTGCCGCTAGTGCGTAAAAACTACATATGATAAGATAAGATTTCGTTCGGATTTTTAACCCCGGAGGGTTAGCCACCCAGGATAACCCAAGAAAGTCAGTGCGTCATCGAGGACTGTCTAACTTTTTCCATTGGGGTCCTCAATCTTGTCCCCCAGGATGCGACCCACACCCAGGTACCTAATTGCTGCTAGGTGAACAGGACAATAGGTGTAAGGAAACGTGTCGAAATGTTTCCACCCGCCGGGAATCGAACCCGGCCCCTCCTTTGTGTGAAACGGGAGCTTTAGCCACCAGGCCACCGTTCCTGACATCACACAGTGATTTGGCCAATGGGAACCAATAACTCAGGATCGTCATCTTCTGTGTGTGTATGAAACTCATACTACAATCATATAATATATTTATATTTAGAGAAAATTTTCCTACATGAGGCCAAATCCATTCCGCATGGTTTAGTTATTAAATTATCACTAAATCATTAGTGTCCTCATGTAGAAGAGACTGGAACATAAAGAAGTTAGTCCAGGAGTTATTACACGGAGCGAGAAGTTAGTCCAGGAGTTATTACACGGAGCGAGAAGTTAGTCCAGGAGTTATTACACGGAGCGAGAAGTTAGTCCAGGAGTTATTACACGGAGCAAGAAGTTAGTCCAGGAGTTATTACACGGAGCAAGAAGTTAGTCCAGGAGTTATTACACGGAGCAAGAAGTTAGTCCAGGAGTTATTACACGGAGCAAGAAGTTAGTCCAGGAGTTATTACACGGAGCGACATACAAGACGTAGTTTACAGTTACATAATGATACAATGTCATTTTAAGATAAGTCTGTATGTTTGTCCAACAATACGTTAGATTGACTGACACCTAAAATTACTGTGAAGCATTCAGGTGTAAGTAACAAAGAATAAGAGAATCGTGTGGTATAAAACTAGAAAAAATTAGTGTAGGCAAATTTTTTTGTTTTTGTTTTTATTATAAACGAAACTACATACAAAATTTGAATATAAACTGTAAATATACAAAAGTGAACTCCACACCATAACCATCATACATATGTCCTCCTGCGGACGGTTATGCCTTCAAACAATGTCTAAAAACCCTAAAGGTATTCCCTCCATCTTACAACATGCAGTATGACCTAAGAATATTACATCATTTCATGTATCAACGAAAGTTTTCTACCTTCAATTAAAATTAAAATTCACACTCATCCAACTGATGACAGTTGCCATTGTTATCAATGACCAGATCCTCTCATGCATGTCATTTCGTATTTTCTCTTAATATACAAACAATACAAGATATTCCTTAAATAGTTGCTTCAACCTGTATATATATTCCTACTATACCATGGAAAAAACCCTCTGATAAGATGACCACTTCCCATATTATATATCCTCTGACATTTTTAACAATATGTATGAAATGGACAACCATGGTTAACCTTATGAACTTAAAAAACTCCAGTTATAATTATCCCCCAAAAACCTTCTCTTCCTGACAACACACAATCTCCCCCTTTTAACCCCCCCATGTTACCCCCCATGTTACCCCCCCATGTTACATATTACTAACTAAAACCAGTGAGTTCCTTATATCTCACAATAACATTATATGCACATGCTAAAAAGGTCGCCTTACACAGAAGGCTTCCTTTTAAAAATTGGTAACATACATCCCTATAGTCTTACATATATATACATTTGCGTATATACTCGATCACACATACCCACACCGACTCATATACACACATTAACACAACAATAGATAAGACTTTTACAACCTTATATTTTAATCTTTATTAGGAAAAAAAGCAAGGCAATTGAATAATTTTGATAAAAACATGATTACTCTGTATCCTTTATACCAAAATGTTAACAATGCATTGATTGTTCCCTCTTGTAGTTGTCTCACTTACAAAGATCATTTACCTTATTAAAACTATGATCATCAATGACCTATTGTCTTTCAACACATGGCTAAACTGAAACATTCACACACAAGAAAACTTTCCACGTACACCACATCTGACATGTCATTCCCTCGCATACAACTCTCATGACAATCCTACCACATTTACATATCCTTCATTATGGTCATATTCGCGCTATAAAAGGAAAATGGTCCCTTAGTACTTAAGTAGCCAAATTACTGAGTCCCTTTACCGTTATATTTCTATATGCCTCCGGGAACGCAGTTGCCCACCTTTTACTATAAATGAGTTTATTTCTACAGACTGTGCGATAAATTCCTGCTGCAATTGCTCTTACCCTAATCCCCCCACCTTTTTCCTTCAAGCCCCAGGAATAAAACAAGAAATCTGTCACAATGTACAGGATGGCTCTCTTTATGACCTCAGACACCCCCCTTACCTCTAAAGTTAAGGCACGCAGGAGCTCTACATTGCCCCCACCCATTAACCTGAAGACTCTGGCCAGCCACAACCGTACCTGCCCCAACTCCCTGCAAAAATATACGGCATGAAAGGCTGTTTCCGATTCCTCACAATGTTCGCATTTCGCCTCCTTTACCAAACCCATCACACACAAAGCCTGCTTTGATGCTAGAATTCCCATTACAAACCTATAAACTAACTCCCTTACCCTCGGCATTAATCTAAGTTTCTGGAAATCATGCCAAATCGTACCCCAATCATACAAAGGGTATACCGCCACCCCTTGCATGACTTCTTGTTTCCTACTCATCTCTACCAACCTTCCCACCTTGAGCTTTTTTACCTCACCTATTACTAACATAGGACACCCCTGTCTCAAACCTTTCTCCATTTTCAACACGCTACCCAACCTACCATTAATTTGCACCTGAATCGTGGCTTCTTCATACAAGGTCTTCACCCATTTTACTACTCCCTCCCCAAAACCCATAAGCCTTAAAGTGTCAACCATGTACTCCCTATTCACACCGTCATAAGCATTCTCCCAATCAATGCCCAAAATTCCACCACCCTTACAACACTGCAAAAATTCCCTAATACGACTATGTCCATCCCTCATACTACGACCCGGAATTCCCAACTGACCCTTATGCACAATACCACCTATTACCCTCTTCATCCTGTTCCCTAGAATCTTCGCAAAAATCTTATAATCCGTACACATTAAAGATATGGCCCTGTACGTGCTCAGTCTTCTGCCCCATCCCACTTTTTTCTTTACAAGCACGACCACACCCGTCCTTTGTGACATTCACAATTTCCCTTCCTTCAGCATACTATTCAATACGGCTGAGTGGTTGAGGGGAGTAGACGTATGCTGGGGATCTGGACCTACTAATTCGCAGGCCTACCCATTTCTCCCGACTGATAAGTCATCATTAAAACTCCTACTGTTTGGAAGACAGCTTCAGTGGTTGTGCGAACTCTTAAGTGCGAGCCTGTGAACTAAGATATACCAGTGAAACACTGGAAATAAGTCCTTCCTTTTTTGCAAAGGCCCTCACAGTCCACTGCTTCCCCCTCTGTACCCCTCTGGCCTTTCATTTGCCTCAAGCTTTTTCGCCTCTATCAACATACCGTGTAAGGCGAATATTGCTATCCCCTGCTACTCGTGCCTCTCAACATGCTCCCAACTCATCGCTTTAAATTAACCAATGAGGATTAACGACGGAGTGTGCATGTCCCTACGTGAGTTGGGGTAACCCAGGTGTCCACACACTGAAAATTCGTCTTTCACTCCAAGCTATAAGTGCTAGAAGTTTTGCAAGTTGGAGTGAGTAACAATCTGTACAAATATTGCAGTTTTGTAACTCTTGAGAACGCTGCCTCAGGCCTGTTACCTTGAGCGCGGCACTGCATCATCTGCCTGAGACTTTCGCCATATTGACTATGTGAATAAATGCAATGTGCTGCTCAGTTACCCCAGCTGTTTTCTCCTGTACCTACAAACTCTCCGCCTTTAAACTCAGCCGTTTGCCCTCTATCAACGTCTGGCAGTGTAGAGGTGTATGTTGCTGCCCCAGCTGGTACTTCGAAATATGTGGAGTTCCGCAAGTGCTGCAGATTGTTGTAACTATTTGCAATGAGTGGATTACGCTGACTTAAGGACATGTGCACCATCAGTACCTACGTAGGCTTAAAATGATGAGGAAATGTCTGGCCTGCTGGTGACCTTGAAAAGCACTCAAGACCCGCATGCCACTTTACACCCATACTGCGTGTGTCTAAGCGAGGTGTGTGCCCTTCCCTCGACTTTCCTATTCACCGGAATCCCTTAACATTCGCCATTATCTACATATGGTATAAGGCGAGTTTAGCTGATCCAGGCCAAACACGCTCCAAGACCAGCCCAGTGAAGCCAGGGCTACATCTGTCTGAATCCCAGAATGCCTTTGTGTACGTTCTACAGTGTTCCCGCCGTACCTTCGGTGTTTGTGAGGAACTAGTTCTTAAGTAGTGAAATTTGTGTCATTCCAAGACACGTGCTAAGATGTGTAATGCTGCTGTTTGGAGTTAACAAGTAGTACAGGGTTGGTAACTCTCGAGACGACTGTGGGCCCAGTGATTGACCTTGAAAATGAC